CATTATTTCTTTCTGGTGAAGAAAGTGTTTTGTAAGCTATAAAACACTATAGGAATGTGAGTAGCTATTATTGTGAAAGGTTTTAAATGCCATGTGACTTTAGCAAAGAGATCTCCCTTGGCTTCTTTAGGCCTTGGGTTCTCTATCTGTTCAATGGATAGAGTCACCCCTGTCTTCCAGGAACCTACTAAGGGTCAGGCAGCAGTTAGAGGACCTTGAATCCTTTAGGGGAGTCACAAAGTCTCTAATGGTGATAATAAATGATCTTGATGATTATTAATTATCCTTTTGCTTGAGTATGGTCAAGCCAAAGCTACAGGGCCCTGGTTTGACACATAGCACTGCCAGAAATGGTAGAGCATGTTTTGCTTATTCATAGACTAAAAAGAATAGCATCAAAGGGAGGAATCTACATTGAGAGCTGACCTCTGTAGCACCAAGGGCTGAGACTTTCTGACTCCTCAGCAGGTCAGAATGGCAGCCTAGATGGACCTAGTGTATTGTGATAATAGACACAGAGACTGACTGCTAGTCATAAAGCCTTGCTTCCTCCATTGTGGGGTGTGTAGGATGTCTTGGCCCAGTCTCTGTAAAATGGATAGTGTCCCTAGAGGCAGTCTCTGGGGATGATACTTTGGTTTCCCAGGAGGCCTAGCTTTTATGGTCTTCATAAGCTCATTTTCTGAGAAGGTCCATGGAATCTACAGCAGAACAATGGAAGTATTAGAACCCCAAATCCTTCCCCACTGATGAACTCCCTGGCTTGAGGGGGTTCTGGGAATGAATGTATGTTCCTTCCTGTTGCAAACTAGATGGACAAAAGGTGCAGCATTGGCAGCTGGCCCTTGGTCAGGGCAAGGAATGGTTCTTCAAGTTTTGGATGTGCAAACCAGGTAGGAAGAGTAAGGAGATATTGAGACCAAAGGCAAAAAAAAAAAATGAGAACAAGTTTGATGTGTGTTGGTGAGATTATGAGAAGACCTAATCGGCAGGAGTATAATCACCTATTCAGTGGCAGGAGATAAGTCTGTACATCTCCCATGTGTAGCCTTCCCTGTTCCCAGGGTAGTTGTGTTCTCTCTTTATGTTACTTGTGTTTACTTCTCTGCACATACGTTGTAGTCCTCCAGTAGAAATCAAGCACCTTGAGGGTGTTTTTATTTTGCTCCTTATGCCCTCCTAGTACTGTGCCTTCCAACTTAGAGGGGCTTAATTTATTGAACTGATAAGTAGGGTAGGATCAGACTGAGCATCTTAGACTTAAAGTAGGGAGCTACAGAAGGTGTTTGAGTTCAGAGTGGTTCATTAAGACGGATTAGATAGTGGGAGACTAGAGGAAGGGAGACAAGTAGTCCAGGCAAAGGGTAATGAGGACCTCAGTAAAGGAGGGTGTGGTGGCAGAGAAAATTGGATGATTTATAAGACATATTAGAGATAAATGTAAAGTCTTACATTTGAGTGTTTTGGTTTTTTTAAATTCACTTTACAAGCACAAGATAGCAAAGACAGATTATTCATAAGCTGGAGAGCATCCGGAGGGCATCCATAATGGTGAAAATTTGTATGTGGGAACCAGGGGTGTGGATCCTCAAGAAGACTTAGAATGGACCACGATACCTATCTTCAAATATTTACAGATACACGGAAGGATCCTACGTATTCTGTTGGGCCCTAGAAGATAAAACGAGGAGCTTGAAAACTTGGAAAGAGATATATTTAGGTATGATGTAGGGAGAAAATTTCCTCACAGTAAGAGCTATTCAAAAGTAGAATTGGCTGCCTTAGGAAGGAATGGCTTCCCCTTTTGGAGACCTTCAAGGAAAAGCTGGATGGTCACTGTCATTTTTAAGAGGAGTTTTATTATAAGGAAATTTGAGAAAATTCGGCTATGGGAAAGGAATTGTGATTCTTGGATTTGGGAATTTGAGAGAACGTTAGGTGGTGCCATTTACAGAGACGAGAAAGTTTTGGATCTGTTTTGGAAGAGAGTTCACTGAAGGAACATAAAGCAGATTTGGTCTACTTGTATGACAGTGAGCAAGATCCCCATTTCCCTGGACCTCCATTTCTGCCTTCTTTCTCTAGGAGGTCCCCAGCTTTGGGGATGAGGAACTGATGATGAACAGAAAATTGTCCCGCATTTAAGGTTTTATAGAAGGCCCAGCAGGGAACGTATCCTGTGGCCAGGAAATGTCCCCCATGGACAGGAGTGTGGCCCCAACCAGGGTGTGGGGTGGAAGTGAGGTGCTGCTGTTACCCTAAGCCTGGCTTTCCTCAGACACCGGGCCAGGCACTGCCCTTTGATGCTGTGCCGCCGCTGCCGGACAAACTTGGATGTGAACAGGCCGTTGAAGAACTGCTGAAGCATTTGCAGAGGAGCTAGAATTTCAAGGCTTTGTTGGCCTTGATCATATCTTTACATTCTTTGAAAACTGGCTGCAGAGGGGGTGTTTACAGACACTTCCAGGGCAAGATTACCAGCTTCTTTCTATATTTTCCAGTCTGTACCAGGAGATTTGCTCACCTTATGAATTGCCCAAGGTTTTAGCTCTGCTGGATGTTTCACCCTGATTTCTTTTGAACAAGTAAAAGGGAAGCACAGTCTACCGTGGGGCAGAGGCACTAGGCCCCCACAGGAGGCTGATGCTGGGGGAAGGAGGCAACAAGGGCAGTGAGTCACGGGGGTGGAGGGGCAGGAATATCCTGTTCTCAAGCAGCTCAAATTTGTCAGCCAGAGGCTGGATTGAGAGCTCCATTGAACTCAGCCTGCCTGATTGTCCCCTAGGGGCTGTGTCCCCTGTGAGGAGACTGTCAGCCTGTCAGGGCAGCCAGGTGGGAGGGTGTGGGTAAATTTATGAGAGTATGAATAGAGTTCTGGTTTAGTTGAAAACAAAAGGGCATCGGTTCCCCTTTACAGGTTGGGGATTTGTACCTTTCTGCTTCCACATGGGAGCCTTTAGTTCTTGGTCAGTGAGGAAACCTAGAGGAATAAATACCCTTGAGGCAGCAGGAAGGGTCCCTCAGGGTGGAAGTGGTGGAGGAGTCTGAGAAGACTGACTGACTAAGGAAGTAATGTAGGGGAAGTGAGGAGGTGATCTATAAGGCACATCCCATCACAGGGTATGAACGAAGGAATTCCCATCACTGCTGTGCCGACAAGACACTCTACTCTGGGCTGCCTGAGGATAATATTACTTGCCTCAACAGCCCTACTAGCATCATCCTAATTTTATACATGAGCAAACTGGGACTCCGGGAGGGGAAGTCATTAAGGATCATAGAATTTAGAGCTGGAAGAGGGAGGCTGAGAGAGGAGTGACTTGCTTGGAGGTCACCCCCATGAAATGGTGATGGGGCTCGAATACAGACCCAGGCTTTCCGATTACAACACTCCTTCCATTCTTCTACTCAAGGAAGTACCTAAAGAGATCATCCAGCTATTTTCTGGCCCCCTAAGCATCAAAGCTAAATTCAGAAGAGATCCTCTTCTTCCATGTCCCAGCAAAGATATCCTGCCTTTTTTTACCTGATTCACACAAATGCCCAGTGCTTGACAACAAAGGGCCACATGTGATCCCAGAAACCCTGGCCTAAATTCCAACGCACTAGGGAGATGGCACCTGCTTCTGTTCCTTATGAGGGTAGATATGTTTGTGTAGTGTTCCTTCCATTTGGTACACTTTGGAAAGGTGTTGGGGAGAATTATCATTCATCACTCTAGTGACATTCTTCTGATTTGATGAGCTCCTCCGACTTGGCCCAGTCAGGACAGAGGTTAGATGACATGTGGGTGAGACATTGACTGGAAACCTTCTAGCCAGTGCTTTCCCCAACAACCAGAGCCTGTCTGGGGCTCCAGATGGCTTTATTTACTGGGAAAATAATCTAGAGTTGGTGAGCTCCAGGGTCGGCCGTGTAAGCTCAGAGCTGGAGGCTGAAGCCTTGGGTGTGGACAAGGGAGTAAGGCCTCCTGAGGTCTGCCCTGCTGGCCTCACAGATGGTATAGATCAAGAATCTTTTGGGAGGCTGACTATAACAGAGGTTTTATGCTTAAAACTCACATGGAGGCTGGATTTTTCCAAAATTTGACCTATCCAGACTTAGAGGGAGGCCTTTTTTCTATCTGTACCACTATAATGCCAGTATGGGATTAGAGAATCAGGCTTTTTGCACTAGATGAAACCTTATCAATCTGACTGCTTTCCACCCCTCATTTTACAGATGAGGAAAATAAAACCTAGAATGAAACAGATTTGCACTGTTCAGTCACACATACATCAGAGCCAATACCAGCCCATTTTATGGCAGAGTCTAATGTTCAGGTTCTCTCTCCTGTTGTCTCTCTTTGGCAAGCCTCGATCTCTTGATATCAGGGAGTATATCCCAGATTTGGGTATATGGAGTTAAGAGGCCCATAAAAGCTGCACATCGCCTGTTAAAATTTGTCCCTTGCACCCAAGATTGCTGTAGCCTCGTATTCAGAGTCTTGGTTTAGTTTCTTTCCTAATTGTTGATTTGCCTGTAACAAAGCATTCATACCAAAGACAGTTTCTTCCCCAAAAGAATGAGGAAAGAGCTTTGGTTTGGGGCCTAGTTTTCATCAGTTTCCCCCGTGTTGTCTGTGACTTGCTGTTCTGTTTCGATGAGCATAAGGAGAGGATGTGGAGGAGGAAAGATCAGGAGGATAGGTAGTCAAGAGGTCTCCCTCTCATGATTGATGGCTCATAGTACTGAAATAAAAACTTATAAACTAATTAGCAAGGCTGAAAATATATCTCACTCTTTTGAGAAAACAGAATAACAAGTCACTGCTCTTGTCAGATTAATTTCCAGGCAGCAATTTCCCACCCTTATCTAAGGATACCACAGTTGGGCGTTGTCTCAGAGTGGGGATGCGGGAGGGGTCTGACCACCTTTCATCACCTTGAGCCACTAGCAGAAATTCTTCAAAACTCCTCCTCACATCTCTGTAACTCAAAGCTTGTGCTTGCTGTTTGCAGGTGAAGGGGCATGCATCCTTCTCCGTTCCCTGGAGCCAGTGGAAGGCCTGGAGATGATGCGGCAGCTTCGTAATGCCCACCGAAAAGGAGCTGCCAGGGCCCTCAAGGACCGGGAACTTTGCAATGGCCCCTCTAAGCTATGTCAAGCCCTGGCCATTGACAAAAGCTTTGACCAGAGGGACCTGGCAGAAGAGGAGGCCATTTGGCTGGAGCAGGGTCCTGAAAGGCCAGGGGAACATACTGTGGTGGCGGCACCCAGGATTGGTATCAACTATGCTGGAGAGTGGGCCCTAAAGCCACTCAGATTCTACATCCAAGGCAACCCTTACGTCAGTGTGGTAGATCGAAAGGTAGAACAGGAAATGCAGGCCAGTGGCTAGGGCCCAGCTAGGGAAGCCGAGCTGCTGCTTCTGCTGCTGCTGGTGGTGGTAGTGAATTCAGCACTTGCAAGCTGAGCCCCTGTTGTGTCAAGGTCATGGCTTGACTAGGCTACAGCAAAGATTTTTAAAGGTTTAGAAAAATAAATTCTTGTTTCCACAAAACAATGTTAGGGGAGTCATGTATATACTAGTGTCTCATTTTTTTTTCTTTTAGTGTGGCGTTTTAGGGGAGGACAGTCAGCAGCCTTCAGGGAGACTGGCTCTTGCCACCATGGCCTCTAAGCCATGGGTTAGGGGTACCTAACCCTCTCCTTTAAAGCAATTTGATTTTCTGCTTGCAGGCATCTGTGGCCTTGCCCAAACAGCAGGACAGAAGCCCATGGCATCTGAAGATACCACCAGAGCCACAACCTGGGCCATGGTCTTCCTTTTTTCTGTAGCCCTGATGCTGCCATCCTTGCTGGTTGCCAAGATGTCCTGGCAGGCCTTGTAAGGGGTCTGCCCTGGGGACCAAAATGGTTTTTCCCAGGCAGCCTGGGGCAGACACTGAGCTGTTTTCAATACTGCTGGCCCAGGGATAACTTTCCAGCTTTCCAGCTGATGCAAAAACCATCTAACATCAAGAAGCCCCAGTGTCACTGCCTAGTTAAGCATTTTACCATAACAGCATAGAAATGTATTTATTCCACAGACAGAGTCTGGGAGAGGCTCTGACAAAAACGACCTAATTGGCTGTGAATCTCATCAAGGGTGGCTACCACAGCATGGAGGGAAACTCTTGTTTTCCCATTGCCTTAGAGCTAATGCTTATGGGTCTCCTGGCTAGCTGCAGCCTCTCACTGTCAAGGCATTCAGGCCAATCTGCGTGGGAAGGGTCCAAAGGGTTAAGCCATGTTTTCTATAATGGCCTTTATGAGAATGGGGGGAGGCAAGGGCCTGTACCTCCCTTTAAAGGGGGGTAGGGCTCTCCTTACAGAAGCCAAATGATAATTATAAGGGACAGGGGAAAGGCATGAGACAGACCAGCTAGAAAGCTAACTCCTGGCTCTTTTATTTTCCTACAACATTCTCAACAGCCCCTTAGCTCTGGGGCTGCACCATGGTTGGGTTGGGAAGATTGGCCTTTAAGAGAACCTTACAAAAGTCATACACTACTCAAGCAGGGAAAGGAAGGCCTCTCAGCTTTCCCCACCCCCCCAACCCTAAGCTGATAACCATCAAATATATAGGATGGTCACAGGTCCAGGAGTGACTGGCAAGCTAAGAAGAAGGGCTGATGGTTGGAGGGACTCACCATGCCACACTCTAGCAGCAGGCTCAAGCTGAGTTAGAGCCTATAGCTGATTCCAGATTAGGAAGCTAGCATGTGAGTTAAAGCCATGTTATTTCAGGGCATTTTCCTCAAGCTTAATTGAGCCACCACATAGCCTTCCCTCCACCTACATCCAGAATTCAAGGTCCAAATAAGTGGGCCTTTCGATCCCACTAATACTGTGCTCCTTAGGAACCCACACAGTCACTCTGCTTCTCAAAAGGAAGAATAACAGGAAGGGCCAACTTGGAGCCTGAGAGGAAACCAACCATGGTCCCAAGATAGCCACTCTTTTTGTGGAATGCCTCCCCATCCCCTCTGGCCCTTGGTGGCTCGAAGAATTCTCCAGGGTGAGTTCTTCTCTGAGCAGGGGGCTAACTTCTCATTCATTTTAGAAGTGACTGGAAAACTGAGATGACCGGGTCCTCGTGGTTGGTGACCACCAGCACACTTCGGAACTTGTCGAAGAGCATCAGCAGTTGGGATCGTCGCATGTTTTCATTGTACATGATCTCTTCCAGGTGATGGCGTCCCCGGAAATAATGTAATAGCCTAAGAGGGAAGAAGAAATTAGTAAGTGCACCTCGGAGGTCCTTGGCAACACTTTCCATCTGAGAGGCCCTTCCTGGATCCTAGAATCATAGATCATGAGCTCGAAGGTACCTTCAAAGTCATCTTTTGAGCCAACCCACTCATTTTACTGATAAGGAAACTGAGACCCAATGAGGTTAAATGACGTGTTCATGGTCACAGAGGTAATAAATATCAGAGGTAGGATTTAAATACAGGTCCTTTGACTTAAGAGCCAATGCTCTGTCTACAGTAGGATGCTGTAAGATATCTGCTGGCCTCATCAAGAGTTGGTTCACACCCTTATTCTAGGTAGCCTCTGCTGGCCTCAACTATAAAAATGAAAACGTTTGTGTAGCCTTCATATAAGTTCTCTCACTTAGTTCTTATAACCACAGATAGACAGGTCAGAGATAATAATAACTGAAATCTTATTTTTGGACTGAACTTTTGTGATTTCATTGGCATAGGGAACCCCACCAACTTTTAGAGAGTTTCCTCTGGAAACCTGGAAAGTTACAGTGCTTTCCCTGGGGTCACCCAGCCAGGATGAAGCAGAAATCAGGACTTAAACCCAGATTTTCCTGGATAAGTCTGGCTTTTCTAACCACTATTATCATGCTGGCATTTATATAGTGCTTTTTATAAAATCTGAAAATTGCTTGAACATATGTCATCTCATAATACAGAAACAACTGGGGAAATTAAGGCAGAAAAAAACTGGGACACTAATGCAGTTGGTGGAGGTGTGAACTGATCTAACCATTCTGGAGAACAATCTGGAACTACGCCCAAAGGGCTACAAAACTGTGCATATCTTTGACCCAGAAATATCCCTACTAGGGTCTATATCCCAAAGAGATTTTTAAAAAAAGGAAAAGAACTTATATGTACAAAAATATTAATAGCAGCTTTTTGTTATGGCAAAGAAATGGAAAGTGAGGAGATACCCATCAACTGGGGAATGGCTGAACAAGTTGTGGTATATGATTGTGATGGAATACTGTTGTGCTATATGAAATGACAAGATAATTGTATGATGAAAAATGCTATCCACTTCAAGAGAAAGAACTGATGGCATCTGAATGCAGACTGAAGCATACTTAAAAAAAAAACTTTGTTTTTTTCTTTTGCTCTGTGTTTTCTTTTGCAACATAACTAATTGCGTGTAATATATATCAAATCACTTGCCTTCATGAGGGGAAGGGAGGTAGAGAATTTGGAACTCAAAATTTTAAAAAAGAATGTTAAAAATTATTTTTACACACTGGCCCTGGAGTCAGGAGGACCTGAGTTCAAATCTGGCCTCAGACACATAATACTTCCTAGCTGTGTGACTCTGGGCAAGTCACTTAACCCCAATTGCCTCACTAATAAATAAATAAATAAATGAATAATTTTTACATGTAATTGGAAAAAATAAAATATAAACATAAAAAATATGAAGACTCAGGTCTTTCACAGGTCTCCTTCCAGCACACCTCTTGCTGTTTTAGACTCCTGCTTCATTTTATGCCAAATGTCAAGTATGACAATAACTTGTACATTTCTCTCCCTCTGAGCTCCCACTACACACACAGTCTAAGAAGAGGTAGGTACACAGCAGGAAGCAGAGAGAAAGATGCACACATTTTCCCTCTTCCTTCACTCATCAGAGGATTATGGGATAGTGCCCAGCATCAGCCAGGGCACCTCTGACAGAGGGTTGTCTTTTTGGGAACTTCCCTCAAGATTTTTAGGTCCAATTTCTTGTCCTCTTCCCCAAAACAGAAGTGTCAGCACTCCCTCTAGACAGCTAATGCTGCCAGGGGAGGTTACTGGCCATTCTTGCAACATTTCCCTGTTCCCCCAAGCAGTCTTGGGGGCTGGGGCTGAACTGGCTTTGGATAAGAAGGCCCTCTGTTCTTCAGTAAGTGGGGTGGTGTATATTCAGGAGTCTATTTCATGGGGAAAAGTTGACACCACCAGCCTTTTTTGCTCTGATAGTTTCTGTGCTACCCTCTCACTTGCCCTGAGCTATTCAGAGAGGGCACTTTGGGGCTGCCCCTTCACACTCATTCAGATTCCTCAGCAAGGCGGGCACAGGTCACACAGCATAAAGAGCAAGCTCAGAATAATATCTATCCAAGCACCACTCAGACTAAGGGAAAGAGAAATACTTGAGCTGAAGAGCTTTGCTGGAGCAGGCACAGAGTTGAGAGGGGGATATGAGGTGGAAAGAGAACTCCTCATGGTCTGGAGATTTCTTTCAAATCCCCTGATGGGTCAGTCCTCCCCACCTACATTCAAAGCTACCCAACTGAGATGATTTGGCTCAGGATGTGGTTGCTGTCTCCCTAATTTGTTTTCCCTAAAGTGTCTGCTGGGCCCACTAGGCCTGACTAAGCAGTAAGAGACTAGGATCACAAAATAACACATGATCTGAGAACTCCAGTTCTCAGATGAAGTCCAGTAGGGACTTCAACTAGTCCAACCCCCATTACCTCCCAGAAGAGGAAACCAAGGCCCATGGTCTTGTATATAGCAAGTAAGTAAGTGGTATTATGTAAAGTGCCAGAACTGATATTCAAACCCACGTCTTTTAGGGCTCTTTCCACTAGTGCCCATTTCCATGCTGGTTTCCCTCTGCCATTTACACACTTGTGGGTCCCTGTCTCATTTCAGCTGGTAGGTACTCAGGGAACACAAACTGCATTAGCATGAAATAGGGACAGGGACAGGACCTGTGATTTCACTGGTGCAGGGAATGTCCAGTGGGAAATGAATTTACAGGCTAGCACCTTTTCTGCAATTTACAGTCTTAGGTGCCTGGAGCACTGGGAAGTTCAGTGACTTGCCCTAGGTCACACAGCCAGTTGCTGTTCATCTTTCATTTCCGAAGAGGACGAATCACATCACAGGGTGATGTCTTGACTCACTTGTGAATTATATTTGATGAGGCAGAGTTGGAATCATCAGTCTCACTCTGTCTTCCAGAGTCACTGAAGTCCAGTGGCAAGACAAAAGTCAGCATGACTGGTAATGGTCCAGGATGCAGTGCCCGCCCCTGGCATTTTCAGTGTCTGACTAAGCTCTAAGCTCTCCTCAGTGCCTGCTTCAGCCACCTTCGTAACCACTGGAACAAACTGTTCTGCGTTCTAGACACCCCCAACTCACTAATGGGTTTGAAGCCTGTCCCCTCAACCTGGTTTAGCCTGTCTGTGACGCAGGTGGACACCAAAGGTGAATGAGCCCTCACATCAGAGGGGCTAGTCTCCTGATCAGCTCATACACCCCACGCAGCCAGTACATGTCAGAGGTAGGACCTGAACTTGGTCCTCAGAGTCTCCTGGCTCTTGGCTATAATGACGATGACAATGACAACGCTGAAGAGCATTCCCACAGGTTCTGGTTAGTTCTCTAGGCACTGTGCCATGCTGTCTCTCCCTGCATTAGCATGTGACAGTGGATAGACAGTGGATGGCTAAAGGGACTGAACTGACAGTCTTTTCTACCTTGCCAACAAAAAGTATTCACTAAATACCTAATTTTGATATGGAACCTAATTTCTCCATAGAGCTTTCTAAATTTATCGTCCCCTATTTCTGCCTCCCAAACATGCTTGGTCTGTCTCACCTCCATTATTCCATTTTATCCTGAATTAGGGAGGGCAGAGTCATCTTTAAAAGTGAGGCAAATGAAACAGAGAAATAAGTGATTTTGCCTAAGGTTATATACAATTTAGTAGCAGGATCAACACCAGAACCCATTTCTCTTCACTCTTAATCTAATGTTTTTGTTTTTCCACTAGGTCATACCAACATAGGTTCACAGGCACGTATAAGTCAGGCAGAGACACTTATTTGTTAGGCATGTGAGTGTGGGGGAGGGGGGGTGGCTCACATTCCCTTCCTAGGTTCCTATTAACCCAATTACCTTTATAGAGGAACTCAGAATCACTTCTGCTGTAAGTATGTCCAGGAGAGGACAAATATACCTTACTTTATACAGCAGGTGTGTTCCTGAGAAACTGGGTGGAAATCAAAATGATATTTGTTCCTTAATAACCTGTAGCAGCAGGTAAAAGATGGATTTGAAATGACTTTTCTAAGACAGGCTAGCATAGCAACCCAATTAAATGTTAGTGTACCTAAAATTAATTCCTCTTTTTACAGAAATGAAACCTTCAAAATTGCTAGAAATGAGGCACTGATGTATATTTTCTCTAAGGTAAACAATTGCTCATTACTCTGCCATTCCCTATGAGTGAAAAACCAAATGCCAATTAGCAGGATCTGGACCTGATTAACAGCCTAGACCTTGGGTTAATGCATATAGAAATAGACTTTCCTGCAGGATTTCAATACGAGCTCTAGGGAACAGCTGGTCTTTTTTCTTCTCAAAGTTTACTTTTAAAATGAAGAGTTAATTTTCCAACTGAATGGTCAATGTTTTACACCAGGAGAGTCACTAAATGTTAGAACTATAAATATCTTTAGGAATAATCTGGTCCAACCACTTTGCATTGCTTCAATTATCCCCTCTATTCAGATTCTCTGCCCAGATCTGTACCTCTCACCCAAAAGCCAGGACCCTGCACACAGTACATGCTTAACAAATGTTTGTTGAATTTGACTGAATTATAAGCCAGACCTACACCTGCAACTCCACAGTTCAAAGTTAAGGTTTTTTCTGACTTCATTATTTCTGTCAATGTACCTAATCTTGGGGTAGCTTTGACATTTCACTTTCCTGTCATGTCTAAATTCTATCAATTCTAACTATGCTCTCACTATTGCATCTTCTTCTCTATTCGCAGGCCACCTGGCATAGTGGATAGAATGCTAGACTTAGGAGTCAGGAAGAACAGAGTTCAGATCTTATATCAGACACTTATGGCTGTGTGACCCTGGGAAAGTCACTTAACTGCCCTGGGCCTCAGTTTCCTCACCTGTAAAGTAAGGGGATGAGACTCATTGAACATTGAGGTCCCTTCCAGCTCTAAATCTATGAAGCTCTGACCCCTTTAGTTGAGGCCTGAACTATAGCAATAACCATCCAACATGGTTTTCTGCCTCTATTTTCCTCCCAACTCCAGTTCATCCTCCAGACTGCTGATAGGTCAGTCTTACAGGCATGCATTTCGTCAAGTCGCTAATCTGCTCAGAAGTCTTCCAACTCCTTATTGTCTAATGAGTAAGTTCTAACTACTTGATTACACCAAAGCTCCCACCTGGCAAACATGCGGAGATCTTCAGGGTTCTGAGCAGCAGGGACACTGAGGATGGCTTCCCGCTCATGCTCTGACAAGCTGGCCAACAGATTCTCAGTCATCCTTTTATTGAGTGGGGAGTCTCCACTGGGGAGCAGCTCAGCACTGGAGTTCTCCATGCTGGGACTTGTGAGGGTCATGTCATCACTGCTGGCTACAGGAAAGAACATGGGTTAGGTGATAGAACCTTACACTTTTCTGTGACAGGACTAAGTGAGGCCAAGGCCTCTATGAGAACTAAGACAAAAGGTCTTGTGCCTTGTCTTATTCCTCTTGGCAGCATGTGCACTCTCTTCCAGTCTCTGAACAGGCCACATCTTTGTTAACAGGAGTGCCCAGAAGAAGCCACATCCTGACTGGCCCAGTTTATCTCCCCATCCCCATGAAAAGCCAACTCTTTGATGTTCCTGCTTTTGCCATTTCCCTCACTGGGTTTTACACAGCCATCTGAGCTGGAGTTAGGAACTCCTTCTCTTGTGTCCACCAAGGAATTCTGATGGAGGAGGTAATACAGGTACACGGTATATGGGTAGCAGTAGGGGAAGGAAGCAAGTAATATGAACCACAGAAGCCAAGGTGAGGTCACTGGAAGGGAGTCTGGTTTAGGGAAAGTGGGTTGCAGGTTATGGACCTGCAAATTAATTTTATTTTAGGATTTTTTAAAGTCTCTGTAAATTCCTGAAACGTACATAACACAGTTTGACAAAAGACAATGGAAAGAACACTGGATTTGAAATTAGACAACTTAGGTTCAAATCCTGACTCTGCTACTAACAATCTGTGTGATCTCTGGCAGGTTATTTAATCTCGTGGGGTCTCAGTTTTCTTCTTCTGTAAAACAGGGGAATTGGACGAGATGATTTCTAAGGTCCCTTTCAGCTTTAAACCTATGATCCTAAGAATCACAGATAAGTCCTAGAATAGAAACAAGTCCTAACCACTGTCTTACAATGGTAGGTCTGAGAAATAAGGAGGCATTTCCCAATCTTTAGAGATAAGAAAAAGGATCACAAGGGAATTCTGGTATAAGAAGCTCAGCACTTTCTTTTGCAGACTTAGTTTCCACACTAGAAGCTGTGACTGATTTTTGTCAAAAACATTCAGAACTGAATCTGAGTGTTGTCCTTCCAAGTAGCCCCTTTGGGAAGCTATGCATTTAGTACAAAAGCTGCTTGCTATTGCTCAGAACTCTTGAGAAATTCTACTTGGAAATTACCTTTAGAGCCTAGTGAACACTGAAATTGAAATTATCTTCGACGATAGCACATTTTCAGCTTTGGTGGGGGAGAGGTTGGAAATAGCTGAATGTTTTTTTGGAGCCAAGTCTGGCAAATACAGGGATCATGCTGGGAAATACAAGTTTTGGATTTGTTTGTTTTAAAGAAGTGTGAATCTAAAGTAATGAAACCGATTCTCTTGTGTGGCTCCTAAATGGGCTTTGTAGAGAGGGGACAGTGCTAGGCTTGGAGTCTGTGGACTTAAGGTCAAAGCCAAGCCTTGGCACTTAGAGCTATAGGACTATGGGCAAGTGACTTCATTCCTCTGACCCTCAGCTTCTTTGTCTGGAAAATAGGGATTAACAATATCTATTCCACCAACTTCCCAGGGTTACTGTAGGAGTTGTTGTTTGGGACTCTGGGAATCTTGTGAGTTATCAATAGCAATAATAACAGCAATCTTATTTTTAGGGAGCAAGTGCTTTTGTACAGTGCTTTCCAACTAGTTCAGTCCTGGCCTTACAGATTTGGAGCCGGATGCATCCTCTGCTGGCTGGAGGAAAGCAGAGGGGAGCTCCAGGTCCAGGATGGGCTGCAAGGCAGTGGAGTCTCTACCTAAGACCACAAAGGGGAGAACACAGTCTCAAGCCACAGCAAGAGCTTTAGATGAGCTGCAGCAAGGTACTCCAGAGGATACAGAAAATGCTAACTGATCAATTACTATAGAAGGTTGTAAATCTTTTCTTTAAAATGATTATGACTCACTGGTTTGAAAGGGCATAGGCAGTGACAAAGGCCCCTCCCAGCCCCAGGAGTTCCTAATACTCCTGGAATCAGGATAAAATTGTACTTCTTCAGCTAACTTATGGAAGATACCCAAGAGAGAAGGGTCAGTCAGAGGTGACTAAAATGAAACTAAAATGAGAAAGCCTGGAGCCCATGTCCAGGCTGTCTAAGAAGCAGTTTGACTTCACTCCCTCTGGAGCTCTGAGGATTGAGCAAAGGACTGGAAGAGCATGTACACAAAGGGGAACATTCCCCGTGGGGTCTTAGGCTGTTCCTGAGAATAGGCACACACTGCAGTGAACTTGGAAGGAGTTCTTAAGACAAAGCCTGCAACCACAAGTATTTGCTCCCTACTGGGTACACACCTGCACATGCAAACCAAGTTGTCCAGTTATCCCAGTTCCCAAGACCAGGGACATGAGAGGTGGGAGCCTCGATATCAGGCCACTCCTCACATCTTCCTGGGGATAGGCTCCCTCCCCTTTCTGAGGCAAAGCTAGGGTATCAAGAGAGGTGATCCTACTTGGTGAGCCAAAGCTCAGGGCATTGGGTGTGCTGAGGCTTCTGCCTCCGACGCGGGCGGTGAAGGGGACATCCTCCTCTCGTGTTCGACTCTCTTCTTCGTTGGGGGGCACCATCAGGCAAACATATGTGTGCAGTTGGATCAGAAGCCTATGCTGAAGCATCCAGATCACCATCTGGATGAGTTGTGTCTACAAAGACAGTAGGGGAATTTCATGAGGGAAAACAAAAAAGGAGGAAAAAGCAGACCTCAGTGAGAAGAGTCAGGCTCAGAAAAGAAGAATGATACTCTTTGACATTCAGCAGTGGGGAAGCTCTAGGCCACATGCACTTCTAATCACATTTAGGCATTAACTGCTGCCTCCAGCTATGTGGCCCCACATTTCTCCTGATGACAGGCCCAGAATCCACCTTCTCAGCTGAGGACCTCACTCCACACTTTATTGAGAAAATGGAGACTATTTGCCATGAGCTCTCTCTTCTCTTCTCTACATCTCTGAATTCCCACAGTCTCTCTTTTATTCTAGTCTCTGATGAAGAGGTGATTCTTCTTCTCACCAGGGCCAACCCCTTTTCACAATACTTTGATCCCACTGCCTTCCTTCTCCAGCAAATGGTCCCCACAATCATTCCTTTTCTAATCTTCAGTCTATCTCTATACTGATTCCTTCCCAACTTCCTACAAACATATATAAGTCTCCTCCAACCTCAAAAAACAAACAAAAAAAAACTACTAGATCCTATTATCCTCTCAGGCTAACATCCTATTCTCATCTTTATTACACCATGCTCCTAGAAAAAGATGGCTAAACTCATTGTTTCCACTTCTTCTTCTTTTTTTTTTTAACAATCTTTTCTTTATTTTTATTTTTTTTTTATTTTTAGGCAATTGGGGTTAAGTGACTTGCCCAGGGTCACCCAGCTAGTAAGTGTCAAGTGTTTAGTCTGAGGCCAGATTTGAACTCAGGTCCTCCTGATTTCAGGGTCAGTGCTCTATCCACTGCGCCACCTAGCTGCCCCAGTTTCCACTTCTTTTCTTCTCACTTGCTTCTCAACCCTCTGTAGTCTAGCTTGGGACTTCACCATTTAACTAAAACTTCCCTCTCCAAAGCAACCAATAATCTAATTACTAAATCTGATGCTCTTTTCTTGGTCCTTGAGCTTCTTGACCACTGTTGCACCTAATACTATGTAATAATGGGTCATCCTGAATACCATCTCCTCTTTGGGTATTTATGACACTTTTCCCCTTCTCACTCTCCTTTGCTGGTTGATCGTATGTGTCATGATCACACAGGTTCACAATGTCAGTGTTATCCTAGAGACCTCACTTTCCCCCATCTTGCCAAATCTTGTAATTTCTACCTCCACAATGTCTCTTGCTTCCATGCCCTTCTCTCTCCTCACATGGCCATCAGCCTAGCTCAGGCTCTCCTCATCTCTCACCTGAAATACTGCAATAGCTTCCTGTTTGGTCTCCCTGCCTCAAGACTCTTCTCACTCCAATTCATTCTCTACATAGCTGCTGAAGTGACTTTCCCAAAAAGCAGATCTGATCAGGTCACTCCCCTTTCAATAAACTGCAATAACTCCCTACGTTAACTTCAGAATCAGATATAAACTTCTCTGTTTGGCTCTTAAAGCCCTTCACAACCTGGCTCCAACCTCCTTATCCAGTCTTGTTATACACATTATCCCCTTTCCCATACTATTTGGCTCAGCCACATTGACCTCCTTGCTGTCCTCACCTACCACCTCCCTTTTCCTCATCACCATTCCCCAGTGCTCCATGCCTGGAATGCACCTTCTCACTTCCTTTCACCTTTTCTTTTCTTCAAAACTCAACTCAGAGGCTGCCTTCTGTATGAAGTCTTCATGATTCTCTGTTCTCCCAGATGCTAAGGCCCTCCAGAAAGTTCACTTACATTTACTTTACATATTCTTATTTATATAAACACAAAATGAACCTCTTGGGGAGATGGACTATTTCGCTTTTGTCTTTGATTGCCTGTTTCTCCCTCTTCAAAACAAATCACAGGAATCACATTTTCCCAGCAGAAAATTCCTGCAACTGAGAGGCAGTGCTCAATTTTAAAGGCCCTATTCTAACTTCCTGTGAATGAAGAAAGCAACATGGAATGGTGGGTAAGTCCTGGATGCAAATAATGCCTAAGAAACTTACTAGCTGTGTTACCCTGGGTAAGCCATTTAACCTCACTGCACCTCATTTTCTTCATCTGTAAAACACTGGGATTGGACTTAATGGCCTTTGAAGTCTCCTCTACCTTTAAATATATGATCTTATGGAGAGGGGGCTGTATTTTAGTGTTTCTTTCTTTCTTTTTTTTTTGGTGAGGCAATTTGGGTTAAGTGACTTGCCCAGAGTCACACAAGCTAGTGTATGTTATGTATCTGAGGCCAAATTTGAACTCAGGTACTCCTGACTCCAGGGCAGGTGCTCTATCCACTTCGCCACCTAGCTGCTCCTGTATTTTAGTGTTTCTCAATCTTTTGGAATCAGAAAACTCTTAACAATTAAGGCCAGCAAAGGCAGCACTTTCCACACCTAAAAAGTTTTCGATGGTTCTAAGTGCAGAAGTTCTCATAAAAAGGCTTTTGTATCACCTCAAAACCCAAAAGGGTCAATGTGTCCCAAGTCACATTGGCAGAATAGTCCCCAGTGTAGAAAAAGATAAGGGCATCTTGTTCAATGCACTTTTGAGGACCAAAGTTCCTAAGTAACATTCTGTGTCTACAGCAGTAAACTAGCCTGGGCCATTCTCAAGACTGCCATCAGCACTGACAAATTCATCAAGTTGCTACCATTACTGCTGAATCATTCAAGTCCAACCCAATGTTATCCAATCATGGTGGGAGTTCAGAGGCATTCATTCTGCCCCTCACACATCTTTTTTGTGAACACATGATAGCAAGTGTGAGGTGGCACATGGGTTGGTACGTAGATAGGCAAGTGTGGGAGGGAGATTCAATATAAGTAAATGTTTTCTTTAATTCAACTTACAATAGCTAACTCAATCAGTTGCTGAGATCTCAGAAACAAAATGTAGACTAAAGTATGGCTTTAAGTCACACAGAGGCTATAAGTGGGGGAAAAGCTGATTATGCCAAGAAGTATGAGATATTTTTAAAGGTTCTTATCTTTACTTTCTGGAAACCAAATCACCCCTTCACTCCTCACACTTCCCTCTTATTGTCAATGTCATCTCAGTGTGAAAACCTTCCTTTACAGCTTCAAAAAGGAAAAAAAAAGAAAAACAAGGCATGCAATGATGCCCTTTCTGTAAAGTGCCAGTGTGCCCTGGAAATGCCCCATTTAATGACTGAGTAAAACTGTTTTCCACCTACAGAAGTTAACATTTCTAATTGTTCCATTTCCAGACTTACAAAGTGTCCTTCCTGAAACTTCCCTACTTCAATCTCTCTTTCAGCCCTTCTAGCCAACTGCTGCTTAATGAACCTCATTCAGGCTCAGATAACATTTCACTTCTTCATCATGGGCCCACTTCGCTACACTGACTAAAAAAGGCTGTAATGTCCTGGGTAGGAATAGAGAATCAAGTACAAAGGACTGGACATGTTACCAGAGGAACAATTCAAAGCATAACCAATTAGGAAGAAAGTCAGATTTCAAGCCAGATGAGCTAAATTGGGGAACCTAAGAGATCCAAGTGGGGAGCAAGAGGTGCATCCCAAACCAGATCATACATTGTATATCATGCAGACATCTTCTCTGGCCACCTTGCCATATGCCTTGCTGCTCTTCTGTTTCTTCCATGTGGACCAGGACCTCTAGAATGGACATCCAGAAACTATACCTCTAGTCCCTGGGAAAGTTCCACCATCCATTTTGCTTCAGAACTACTACCCTGGGCCTGAACTACAGTGACAGAATTGTTCTCTGCTATTGTATCTAGCTATGCTTCACATTTCCATTCAACTGTCCACCCAGTCACCTTGCTATCTATAACCCCTTTTCCCCACCACACACACACACACACACACACACACACACACACACACACACACAC